CAAAAAAATCAAATTAAAATAGATATTGAATAAATAAAAAGATAATATCTAGGTACTGAGCAAACAAGATTGTGAGTATTGGTTAGTAATTTGATGGGTTATTTAGGGGTAGAAAGGACAATATACAAACCCAAAATACACATGCTTTGCAAAATATTTTTTTTTGGTGCATTACATAATAAGGCACTTTCTCAAGTTTATTACATTAAAAACATTTTGCAATACTGAATGCACTTTTTATAGTTTGAAGTGGGAAAATATCTGCTTTGCCCTTAATGTGTAGTGGTTGAATTTTTTTTTTTAATCAAAATAGTGGCTGATTTATGGCTAATTTTCTTTTATTATTTTTGTCAAAATCTTTTAATCCACTTTCTCTTATTTTTCTCCTTTGAAACAAATCTCCAATCGACGATTCCTAATAATCTTGTTGCAGTGTGTGAGGTTATGGCAGATTGGGCCAAATAGAGAGAAAATCACATCCGGAGAGAAGAAAATAAAAACGGGACAGTGGGTCAAAAGAAGAAGATTCAACCAGCGAATCCATGACGGCGAAGAAGCGGCAGAGAAACGAGCAATCGATGAGAGGCTTATGAAGAAGCGGCTCAGAATCACCTCGTCACCACGATCCGTAACGAGATTCAGTGGTAATCAGATTCTTCCTCACCTCCTCTTGAAACTAGTTTTGTTGATGTGTGTAATTTGGTTGGATTTACTTTGATAGGAACATATGCAGTCGTTTGTTTTGTCCTTCTTCCTTAGATGGTAAATTCTTCTCTTTTGTTTATGATTTTAGATGCAAAAAACTGAAATCTAAGAGCTTAGCCAAAAAAAAAAAATACTCATGTGAACAAATGATCGTGTACACAAAAACATGAACATATTCATATTTCGTGGACAATATCTTGTGGATAGCTAACAATGGATATGTCATCGACCGATCATTTAGTCTTTCTTTTTTTTATATCATTTTTAAGACCTTGTGTGAATTTGCATATCATCATCGATTTACATAGATGTAGCATATCATANAGTGGTTAAGTTTGTAATCATGGTTTTCTTTATTAGATTCAAGCACTAAAGATATATTTTTTTATGGTTAGTGTTTCTTGGATGATGTTATATGGTTAGTGCCAACGTGTGCTTTTATAGATTGGATTTATGGTTAGTGTTTTTATGGTTATTGTTAATGTGTGTTTGTAAAATACTTGTGGCTTCCTCTGTTGTTTTAATTCTTGTTCGTTCGTTACCACAACATAGGTTTTAAATCTGAGAGAGAAAAAAGTTTTAAAATTTTGGTATAGATGACAGCTATGCGAAGTGAAGATAATAGCAAAGGAAAGATGAAGTTGGGACAATTCGGTATAGATAACAGCTTTGCGAAGTTGGGATAAGAGGAAAGAAAAGATTAAGTGTTTCAAATTTTTACTTGAAATTTATGTATCATATTCGTAATTGATTTGTTTGTTTCATCTAATTTTTATAGGAAGTCCATGGACAAAGATAATGTGCGTAAGGATGAGCAATATAATGTATCCACCATACTACGTCCACGAGTTCATTCATCATGTTATCTACAATACTACTTCAGTTTTTTTCTAATTTTGTGTTACAAAGTATGTTTATCCATACCTACAATTAAAAATGGTCACAGCTTCATGGTTACACATTATATTCATATACTACCATCCATTCAACACCATCCATATAAGACCATCCATCATATACAATCAAATCTCTTGACTAATACAATGATCTATTTAGTTTAAGACTCATAAGCATCAACCCATATTACCTCAATTGGGTTTTGAAAAAAAACAAAGGGAAAATCCAACTGAACATGTTTGAGATTGTGCACAAACAAATAATAACATAAAGAAAGTCCATAATTGCTTTGCTCAACGTATAGACTCATGAATTCATCATCAAAAGTGTTTCCTATAGAAGGTAATAATTAGAAATTAAATAAACAATAAACCCAATTTTAGAGATATGTGGTTTGCTCCAGCATCTCCAATCATCAATCCCTGTAATAGATAATCTTTTTGCCCATATGCATAAACAAAGATCACTAGTTCGTTTATCAACCCAAGCTTTCGGCACAAAATCATCAAAAATCAAATCAAAACACAAAGTTTCTTCTCTGAATTGTTCAACACAAAATCGAAACAGATCTAAAAAAAAAGAACAAACTTTGGTTCCTTGGTCGTAAGTATTAACACGAGAGAGAAAAGTATAGATATCTCTTTTGATTGGTGATTCTTTCTTCATCCGATTTTGTTTTCTTCTGCCAGATTTGGTAAAGAGAGGTAATGGAGAAGACGAAGATTTTATTCAA